AAATTAACGCAGAAGGCGGATAAAGGCACAGCCACTGAAGCAAAAGCAGTAAAAGATCAGGCGCAGCTGACTGAACCCGTCAAAGGTACAGACCAGGACACAGAAGCCCATAGTGGGGAGCACAGCCTCAAGCCGCTGAGGACCCTCCTCGAGGCCATCCAAGAGGAAAGACGTCAATTTGACAAAAAGATGGAAGCAGACAAAATCATACAAGCACAACTGGCAGAGGCATGGGCCCGAGTAGAACCTTACAAAATAGAGGAGACTGACGAAGAAACGGGAAACACATACTGGAGATTTAAAACGCCCACAACAAACGAGCAGACCCACTGGCAAACACAACAAGGCAAGCGAGGCAGACGAAAGAACTCCCAATACTAAAGAAGACACAGTGAAAACCAGCTACCAATAAAAACCGCCCAAGCCGCCAAGACAGCTGACCAAGTTCGCCCACCAGCCCGGAAAAACCTCACAGCCCACAACCAGACAACACAATGTCCACTACCAAAGCCACTCCCACCTTACCCGATCCAGGCCGTCCCAGGCTATGGTCCGCCCTTTTTAGGACAGACCGAGATCCCTTCCTCCACTCTGAAAGCAGCAGCAAACCTCAGGCGTAATCGCCGCAACAGAAACGACGATAACTGGAAAACGAATTCCAGACACAAAAACACAGCTCTCGATATAACCACTGCTCAATCTAGAAGCCGGTTGAAAGAGGCACGAAGTTTTTTTTTTTTTCCAACATCAAGATCTTTTAGCGTTCTATTTGGCTTCCGGGCGGACCCTGTGGAGACCTACCTAGCTGTTGCGGCTTTGCACATTGGGCTAGCCAGCATGGGTGTGGGCGACCGCAGGGGAAGACCGGTTGTCAAACTGGTTTCGCGGCAGTGGTGTGTTTCCATATTTAGTCATGAAATAGTAGTCTCTAGTAGTTATACTGTGTAATACGTCAGGGTGTATTCTCGCTAGGATGGCAGATTGCTATACATGATTTGTTGGTCTAGTGGCAAATTGAGGCTTAACGTACATGTTAAATATGTTTCGGGTTTTGTCATTGTTGAGGCAATCTCGCTGAGCGTATTGTGTCATTATCATATTTACTTGTTAGCTCATGATCGCTTTAGATTCTAGTCGAGAACGTTGGTTGTTGTTAATGTATTATTTGTGAAGCATACGATAATTCTGTGTTCAGTTCAGTAAAATAAACAGCTGTTTAATGTGATTATAATTCATTTGCTTGATTTAATTTAGGATCTGTAGTCTGTGGTTCGTCTAGGTGTATGTACCCATGGTTAGGTTGTCGTCATGTAACTCACAGATATTCATTGTCTAGGTTCTGGTGAAATATTCTAGGATCTCTGCGCAAAAGAACCCCTGTATTTTCTTTACTTTCCTGTTTTTGCTGTTTAGCGGTGAAATATAACATGTTGTCCTAATCACAATTTTCCTTCATCTCCCCTACTTCTGTGTTTTTCCTTGCTTCTTTCTTCCCGCTAGCACATTCCAATTTCACAAGACTGCCCTGACACCTTAAGGACACGCCGCAACAAGGGTTCTTGTGTAGGGGCCTCTGCACCAAGAGGAGACAACAGCCTCAATGGTTTGAAAATTAGATGGCTGTAATTATTGATCTACACACGGCTCGTCTATAATACGATTACAGTTTGTAGATGATGTAAGGGGAATCTAGACTCAATCCATACGCCATTGCTCACAGCTGGTAAATGATGTAAGGGGAATTTACAATAAATTATACACCACTTCTTATATCTGGTAGCCCCCCACCCCAATCTCATAGGTCGGTCCCTGCAAACGCCCACCTGACATCCTAATTATATCAAAGAAATAAATCCGACACCAAGACAAAAGGAACCCCTCTGCTTTTTTTTTGGTGGTGGTGGGGGGGGGGGTGATGTGCGTGTGTGTGTGTGTGTGTGTGTGGGGGGGGGGGGCTCGCTAGCCTTCGTTTTCGTTTGCAGTTGAATGTCCGATCTGACCTTTTGGTCTAAATTTGCCCTCGAAAACCCTCAAATTATAACTTCTTAGGAGGTTGAACAAGGTGTCAGGGGTTTTGTGAGTTGTCCTGTCGGACTAATAGCCAGACTGAGATAGTGTAGTCTCTGAATGTTAAACCTAAATGTAGTAGACCGAGACTGGAAAGTGCGGGTGTGGCATGACATCAGGCGACAGGCGGTCAGCGGGTAAAACATTTTAAGGCTATCCTGCTAATAACGGTCCCAAATTATCGAGGCTGAATATATACCCTAACCGGGCCTCAGTCACATGTCAATTGCGCACTTCCGTCGACTACCGCTACAGCAAAAAATTAATCTTCAACTATACTGTTACAGCCATAAAATCTTGCACATTTCAACAATTTAAGAAAAAAAATATTTAGTTTGATTTTGCCTTCTAGCCTCCATGTCTAACACATTTTCATAGAGGAATAAAAAAAAAAAAAAACCTTCATCACCCATCATTCCTTCTTCTCTTTCTTGTGTACTCACCTCTTTCTTCTCCCCATACCTTTCTCCCCTGTGCCTAGCCTACTTTAAATTTCACCTTTCATCTGTGCCTACTACAGTATGTTATTTATTCTTGGCTTTCCTTCTCAAGAATTAGTTTTATTTTAGCTGTATTCCCATAAGCAATATTTCAATGACTCTAGGATTCAAGCTCTACATAATAGTGGGTGATTTTTCAGAATGATGGAATGAATGAATCAAGAATTTACATCACTGCACTTGGGACATTTCCACATTGTGTTCTGTCTCCTTCATTAGTAGCCAATGAAAAGTCAACAGGCTAATAGTACCAACTGCAACCTGATTAAAAGTGTGCCCATGTGCCCCCCCCCCCCCCCAGTTCTAAATATCTTCTAGATTTGTTCCTCACCTCCACTGAATTAGTTTTTCAGTATACGGATTGTCTGTCTGTTCTACTGCACTGTCCTTCTGATCCCAAAGAGCGTTCACCACTTCTATTTTACTATAAAGTAGCTCACTGTCTTAGTTGAGGTTTAAACGTTCCTTCAACTGGGTCACCCATACATGTTCAGTTCCTGTTCTGGGGAAAATCAAATGACACATCCTTTACTGTCCCATCTAAAAAAACTGGTGAACAAATAATTAGTCCTGGCACAAACCAGAAATATGGGCACATAGTAAATGTATTAGGCAGTTGCTAGAGGAGCCATAGCTAACATTTGCCACCAGAAATGCAGTTTGTCTTTGATGGGAGTAGTCTCTCTTGATAAGTTAGCTAAACGAACATAAAATTATTACACAAAGCATTTCGTCTGCCCACATGTAAACCGGCTACCAGCCATGTTGAATACCAAGACTCTATTGCACAAATGAAAGGCATACTGCATGAAAAACACAACTCACAGTGCTGCACCAAGCACTTAACTCAGGCAGTTGCTTAGGCAGAAAAACAGTAGATTTCCATCCATTTGTGGAAAATGCATTAGCAAAGCACTGTCAGAAGCAAAAATAAAGAAAAACTAATCATTCTGCCATGCCTATCCTTCACACTGGGCCTGAAGTCCTAATAATGAAGATGTCCTTTAACAATGCCCACTTCTACCTTCTATTTTTCCTGATTTATGCATGGTCTTTTACAGTTGGCTAGAACCTAATGCTGCCTATTCCTTGGCTACTAGTTGAAGTGCATGATAGTCTTGGCTTGTGAAGAAGCAGTTTATTGCCTATAGTTGATACCACCAAGTAAAGAAATTGAAAAGGCACTTGATGATCAGTATTGCAGTCCTAGTTTGGAGATCGTTAAGTAAAAACTATTGAAAAGAAGGATAGAATTAAACAATAAGCAACTCTATCGATATCATGGGTGACTTAATCCTTGGCAAAGAATTTTCAACGTTTTGTGATCCAAACGGTTGTTACTTTAAATTCATGACAGCCTGGGTGAGAAGGAGTGGAAAAATGTCTTTAGGCAAGAAAGAATAAAGCTGTCTAGAACATGAGTTTAAATAGCCAAAAAAGAGGTAGTTTTTATATACTTTATTAAAAATAAAACCAAGGTATAGATTTAATTAAAATTAATCATGCTTGAAAACATTAAAAAAAATTTAAGCAAAGAGATTTGAAAAAAAAAAAGCTCAAAACAGAAAGAAGATATAAAAAAGACAGAAACAAAGAAAAAAGAGCACAGTTAAAAAAATAACAATGCATCAAAACTAAGTACCTGAGCTGGCTGATAATATAAAATGTAAATTATAATTTACTGTCTGGGACAGCAAGAATGTGTGAATGTGTGTACATGTGTGTGTGTGTACATGTGTGTACACATGTGTGTGTGTGTACATGTGTGTATGTGCATACATATACATTTTGAAATTAATCTGATATTACTCAATGATAGCCCTTAAAATGTACATTCCTTATGAAAAGATGGTTACATGGTCTTTTAAACAATGCACGACATAACAGACAAAATATAAGGCATAGTTGGGAGGTAAGCACTTCTAATGTAATAGAAGTAGAAAGACTGGGCTGCTGGAATTGGGGGAAGCCTTTTGTAAACACTGAAGTGAATTTCAACAATGTGGGCATAAACTATACATTGCACAACTTATGAAAAACCCAACCATTCTACAGGATGTCACTAGCTTGATTCCAGACATAAAATCAATAGGTACTGTGCCTTTGCCATTATCACACACTGAAAGGGCAGTTACTAAAGATGGCAGAAGCTTTAACAATAAAAATGAACTATTCCTTTTTGTGTAAGCAAAAGGAGCTTATGGTAAATTTGAAATTGCTGTGGTATCACTTGACTATCTTAAACTTCTGATAAGATGAACAATTATCTAGAGAAGATGATGTGATTTGTGGAAAGAATTCAATTCAGTTTTTGTGGTTCATAATATGTTAATGTAAATAAGTAATGCACCTGATGAGATACTGCCAAATGTGCAAGGCAATAAATTGTGCAATGTATTGTTTGAATTTGCATTATTATTATTAAACAAACATTTAGCTTCCATCAAGTCCGTTATACATGGACAGACACTGAGGGTTTCCCTTGTATTTTCCTTGAAATTCAAGAACTGCACCTGGTGCACAAATCCATGGATCTGCTGTAACATTCTGCCATGTCTTCAGTTGCTTCTTCAAGTCAGAAACAACACTAACGTATCTGGGATCGTAGGCTACGTTATGTACTTCAAATGGATCTGACAGCACATCAAACAATTCCCATTCATCCCGATAATAATACTGGTCTAGTGTTTTAAACCAGGATAGTGGAAGACCTTCTTTTGTTCGGTTCAGAATATCTTGGAATGTTGGAGATACAAAAAAGTCTTGATCAATAGAAAAGGGCATTTTAAAATTGAGGTTATGGATGAGATGATAGTTCTGGTTCCGTATGGATCTCATGGGGTAAAACATTGTGATTTCATGGAGGTCATGACTGGCATAGACAGCATCCCTGCTCTGGGAGACACCTGGCAACTGCTGAAATGGAAAACAACAAAAGATAAGATGCACGGGAAACTAATTGTTTATATATTTGTGTATTGCAATAATGATGAAATTGAAAATGACACAAACTTTCAATAACTTGGCTCCATAATTAACAATAATGAAGGCTGTTGAACACAAGACACATATTCAAGAATGAAGAGGGCACAAAACTATTATTCTTAGTGACTCACTGTCTGTTCTCCAAGCACTATCAACCAAAAAAAAACAAGATATACTAATTGCAGATCTAAGGACCAACACTGACTTGTTCTCCAAGGAAGCAGAACTGGTCCTGCAGTGGATACCAGCCCACTGTGGTATTCAAAGAAAAGAAAGAGCAGATAAGCTGACAAAAGCTGGGAGTAATTTTCCACAACCCCATCCGCCACACAGCTACAAGGAAACCAAAACAACCCTAAAGCAGTCTTTCAAGCGGGAGTGGAGAAGGCAGAATGGAGATTACAGACCAGAGAGTGACAGCACAAAAAAACTCAACAAAAAAGAACAAACATCAATTTTTAGTCTTCGGGCAGGACACTGTGGTCTTAGAGCACACCTGCATAGGATAGGCTTAACAGAATTGCTGTCTGTGATTGTGGGGCAGAAAGACAGACCCCCTGAGCACATACTGCAAGACTGTCCTAACTACTCAGCAAAAAGTGTGAATCTGGCCCAAAGGAGCTACAGTACAAGAGAAGCTGTGGGAGACTGGTGACGACCTCAGATGCACAACCCTATTTATGACCCAGACAGGACTAAATGTCTAGCACGGCTGATGTCAAAGAAGAAGACACAAAGAGACTAGTCTATAAACAGTATTAAAAACCTATGTACAAAACTAGCAAAAAAACTTTGGTAACAATGCTCAGAGCTTGCACCTTTCCTGCGACAACATAAGGATGGAAACAATGACCAATTTATAATCATATAAGAGCATTAAACATAAATGTTGCAAAGCATAGATCAGGGCCATTCCACTGGCAGCCTGCGGGTCACATCTGGCCTGCAGAGGCCTAGAAAGTGACCCACCAATACTGCCAGCTGTATTGTATTAATGATATTTTTTTACTCTGGGGGTCAGAGAAAACAAAAATACTAGTATTCTGCAAGATCTGAATGTCAAAGAAAACTCCTTCATAAACAAAAACATATTTCAAAACTGAAATACTTGAGCCAAAATGAACGTAGTTGAAATAGAGCACCAATGGAAGGCAAGGTTCAATGATGAAAAGGCAGGGGTTGACCAGCACACAGGTGGATACATGACTTAAGAGACATGCTATGGTATGCTTATTTAAAAAATTCCTAATGTCAGATACTGTGTGAATCTATAGCTGAGCTAGTTTTAGGATTTGGAGAAGAATCACGTTCATCACATAAGGATATCCTCATAAGTACTCCTTCCATGAATCACAGAACAGTGCATAAACTCTATACTACTGACAAGCCAAAAGGGCTAACATAAAGACGACATTTGGGGTCGGTGGGGTGTAGGTGGGTTCAGTCCCAATAAATTTTCGGGAAAGGGGGGGGGGGGGGGGGGTGCTCAAGGGTCTTGTTTAAGTGCACTTTAATGATAATAAAAATAGTCATAGGCTGAATGGCAAAAAAAAAAAAAAAAAACAATAATAAATTTGAAACAATATTAAATGTATCCACAAATACTTAAAAATGGAGCATCTATACATGGTTGGGGGAGGGCAATTAGCCTTCCTTGCCCAGCACACACAAAAAAAATATGCTGAAAGATAGGGTGAGGGTTTGGCTCCCTCTAAAAATTGGGCAGGGTGGGGGGGGGGGGGTCTCAAGCGTTCTAGCGTCCCTGCTGACAAGATTTCAAATATGTGTAAAGAGTGATTAAGCTGAAAAACTTATCATCACATATTTAAATGTATTTACCTGTTTTGTGTGGGATTTATATTTGTCATCATCATCATTGACCACTGGTAGTAATGACTGACCAGTCAGTTGTACAAGATTACCCTCCAGCTGATAACTAGGATACTGTATGCTATACCAGTCCAGGATCGTAGGGACAATGTCCAGTAAGCTGACCAGATCAGAATTTCTCTGAAAACAATTAAATGGTAAGATAAAAGTCTAAGAATTTTCTTATAAATTTCAGTAATGTTATATATCCAGCTGCATGTGTTTTCAGTATTGTTACGTGAATAATTCATGCAGTTATAAGCTGTTATTTATTATATATACTATGTCTTGTCTATCATATTGTCTTTGCTGGTGCTACAGAGTTCGTGCACTGCGCTGAGATTCTTCTGACTCAAGGGTAAATACTAGGGCTGTACCGAATAGTGATTTTTACTATTCGGCCGAATGTGAATAGCCGGACCAACTATTCGGCCGAATATGAATACGAATAGTGCATTATCATCATCAGGTGTCTTGTCGACTGGCGTGGGCGATTATGCCTAGCCACAATTTGCGATCTCCTGCAGTATGTATTAGTCCGTGTGCTGACACACCTCCATGCCATGCAACAAGACTGTCAAGAATCTTCTCTCGTTGTCTTCCTCTATCCCTCCTTCCACAGTTCTTTCCAGTGGTCACCACATGTTCCATTTTCCCTCTTCTCATAACATGGCTGAAATATGATAATTGTCTCCTTCTGATGTCTGTGATTAGTTGTCTTCTTTTAAGTATTGTTCTGTAAAACCGTTACTCTGAGGCCTCAGGAAATTGTTTGGCCTGCCTACCGATTGTCCAGGACTCACAACGCATTGCCTTTAAATATAAGTGCTTACTTGATGAGGCTAACAGTTACTATTGTACAGACCATATTTTCCAATTAAAAATTTCAGCTAAAATGTAATCACAACCTTACTTATCCGCTGCACTTTCACAAATACAGATGGAGGATCAGTTGCACCTCGAGATAAATACAAAGGCAATTTTTAGCACGCTGCGGTTAGCATTTTATGCAGTATGATACACTTTGAGTGTGAAACAACGGAAAAAAACACACTCTTTTTGACAGTGGCGAGGAAAGACAATTTAAATTTTAACTTTTAAGTAAGTTAATGCCTTCTTTAATAATGTCACAATTTATAGCCGTCTTTTCTTTATTTTCGCCGCAGCACCCCTGGCATACGCACCCAGTTTAAGAACCTCTGCTGTAATGCCTCGGTCGAGTCAGCAGGCAAAGAGCTTGCCAGCTGCTGTACCACGCAACCGGGTAGCAGTTCCTCCTGCTAAGACAGACTTAGGCAACAGCAACTATTGCATTAATGAGAGAGTTAATTCAGTCCATTGCAGTGTATGCAGAAACGGGTGTAAGGTAACCACTATTCGTATTCAGTCCGACCGCAAGTATTCGGCCAAATACTAAATAGTTATTAGGTCCACTATTCGGCCCTGAAGTGAATAAGTAGCAAATATCCGGTACAGCCCTAGTAAATACCCTTGTGCCATGATGCTGATCCATTGTTTAAACCTAAATGCTGGAAGTAAGAATTCTTGGTGGGCATCTGTGGACCAGGCGCACCGCAGTGCCCCCCCCCCCCCCCCCCCCCAAAAAAAAATAACCAGTTCAATTTCAGCTGTCGGCAATTCAGAAGCAGGCGCTTTGCATTTATTTTGACAGTGGTATGCAGCACGGCCAGGGTAGGCACAGGAAAAGCAACGGGCCGAGCCAATGTTCTCAATGCTCTCAAAAAGACAAAATGAGAAGAGATTCAGGAGATGTTGGGGAATAGGCAACATTGACAAGTCTACAAGAACTTCTTGTCAAAAGAGGTGTTGCCAGAGAAATGAACACTATAAGGTAGCAAAAGAATAGTAAACACTGAACTGGTGTTATCAGTTGCCAACCACTGAGGCCTGATACTGAAGTGCTCATGCACTTGTCCAATATGCAATGAGAATGATTGGTCGATTATTTAACTGAAGTTGGTGTATGTGGTTTAAGAATTACAAATGTGGTTTCTTATTCAAAAATATGGAATTTCAATTCAGCTGTAGACAATTTAGTAGCAGACCACCATAATTCCTGTAAGGGTTCTGGAGCCCCAGTTTGGAGGGAAAAAGAATAGACCCACTGCTCCCTTAACAAGTACATCATAAACAATGACTGTTTAGATCTGTGTGGCAGATATGCATGTACAATCCAAATTCAGGAACAATATTAAAGTCCAAAAGTGGATGAACAACCAGAACTTTTCACCGGAACTAATAGCTAGAGAACACAAAGCAGAAGCGATGATTTTGACAATGGTATGGGAGCTAACCATTCAGAAAGGAATGGTAAACTATTCAGCATTAAAAGGCTAGCAAACAAACACCAACAATTACTGCAGAGGAACAAAACTCCGACTCTACAAGAGCATCATTTTGCCAGTTCTTCTTTATGGAGCGGAATGCTGGAGAATGACCCAAAAAAAAATGCACACAATCTGTCCACCTTGCATGTCTACGTAGAATTATCAAAATTTTCTGGCCAGATACAATCTCAAACACTAAACTACTTCAAGCCACAAACCAAGAAACTTTAGACAGTATGATTACCAAGAGAAGATGGAAATGGCTTGGCCACGTTATGAGAATGACTTCTGATATACCTGCCAAAACAGCTCTCACATGGACACCAGAGGGAAAGAGAAAACAGGGGCGCTCAAAAACAACATGGAGACGAACGATGGAAAGTGACCTGAGTGCGGCATCTTTGACAAGGAAAACTGCACTGAAGATTGCACAGGACAGGAAAGCTTGGAAAGTCCTCTCTGAAGCCTCATGTGCCACTATGCATAACGAGAACTGATGATGAAACAAACACCATAACATATCTTGCAAGACTGCCCTCTCTTGGCGGAGCTGTAAAGCAACATGTGGCGACACCCAATAGACATAACAACTAATTTTGGGGGAAACCTAAGAGACCTTGAAATGATATTGCAGTGTTTGACATAGTGTATATTAAGCACATGACTAGAGATCACTGAAGAAGAATTTGCTAGTGAAACCATACACAGCCTACATACGTTGGGGTTGATTTGAAACATCTTGTAAAGAATATTTAACGCAACCATAAGTATTTTAAAAAATGCTTCTCAGGAGCAACCAATAAGGTAACATAAATATAACTGTTCTATAAATTAATCTTACCTTCCCCCATTTTGATCTGCCATCAGGTGAAGAAAGTAGAAAAGGTTCAGCCATTCCTGATGTGTACAGGTTGGTGCGGCCATTAGGAAAAGGAATTCCATTGTCTGATGTAAATATTACTAGAGTGTCATCCAGGTGGCCAGCTTTTCTTAGCTCCTCCAGGACCAGATTGATGCCTGAATAAATTGATGTTGAAGATGTAATTTTAAAAAGACCCTTTTCATGCCTTTGTTGCAGTAGGCATATAATGCTAGACCTGAAAATGAAACACAACTGCAAGAAATGATGGATATAGTTGTCACGGAAACTGAAAACAAGGGTCTTAGTTTGAACAGCAGAAAAACAGAAATAATGGTAATTACAAATAATAAAAAAAAAAAAATGACACTACAAAATGCCACACCAAAGTAAATGGGACAACCCTCAAGTAAGTTGATACATTTCAGTACTTGGGTACCCTGATAAAATCAGACAGAAGGTGTTTTAAGGAAAGCTAAATGTCAAATAGCTCAAGCAAAGGCAGCATTTTACAAAATGAAGAATATTGTATGCAGTCTTTCTTTTTCAATTGAGATGAGAAAGAGAATTCTTAAAAGTTATATAAACCCTATATTGATATATGGAAGGAAATCATGGACAGTTAGTAAATTAGTAAAAAACTTATTTGGAAGCTGCAGAGATGTGAATTTTTAGACAAATGATGAGAATACCCTGGACAGATAAAAAGAGTAATGAAGACGTCTTGAAAGAAACTGACTCAGGAAGAGAACTGATTGCCCACATCTGAAAGGGACAATCTTCATTCTTTAGTCACGTGATGAGAAGGAGAAAACTAAAAACACTGTGAGAGTATGAAATTTAGAGGGGAGGAGAGGCAAAGGGAGATCGACATCATGGCATGGAGGATCACCTGTGTCGGTGTTGACTGAAAGTACATGAGACAGAAGGTTGTGGATAGACATGACTGCCAACGCCAAGCAGAATGGACTTTAAGAAGAATATTAGTCCTTAAAAGGGTGGTTGGCAGGCTGTGCTGTGGTTTATAGCGAGGCTGCGATATGTGTGCCTTTCAGTCCAAAAAGTCTGATTTCAGCTGACTCCTAATTAGTTACCTCTTACAACTTCCATGTCGGGGGGTGGCAGGTCTATCTCTCCCCCTTCCCTTTTAAATACCCCCCTGGATTCCATACAGAAAGCAGTCCAGATCAAATATGAATCCACAAATAGCCGCCTGGAAAGTATACTAGCTACTGTGCTACCGACACCTATTGATCTGGGTTAAGAAAATCAAGACTGCTGTATGCATAAATTTATGACAAATCTACAAAACACAAAGTCATACTTCATGAATAAATAGAGTTAAAACATAATCTGTCGACATTATGTCAAAATCACCTAAGTGCAAGCTTGTTAATTTTCACCTGTGTATTTTCAAGGTTGTTATTTGTCACTATACAATATGATAAAAGTCCCAATTGCAAAACCTCACTCCAAAGAAGTCAAAATGAAATATTACTTTTCATGCAGCAACACAATTTTTCAGACATCTCAATGTTCAAATGTAATTTTCTCGAACTGTTGATTGTTGAATTAAGAATCAACATCACAGTACTCAGGACATTCTCACAAGTGCTCTGTCCTCATCTTCAGCAGCAAGTGCAGAGTTCCAATTGTAGTAGGGCTAATGAAGTTTACAGTATATAGATAAGACAAAGTTAGTTAGTTAGCCCTCACTGCACATTGAACCATTCAGTCCATAAGTGCTTGGATCCCCTCCTTAGTAAATCCTGCAGCAGCTGATGACACCAGTTCTGTGTCTGCTGAAGATGGGGACAGAGCACTTATGTGAATGTCCTGAGATGTCAATTCTTAATTCAACCATATTAACTGTTTACAATTATCCATGGTTGAAACACTGATATTTTAATTTAGAAATAATGAATGATTGCCCCATACTAGATAAAAACAAAACAAGAAATACAGTTTGATAGCTTTAACATTCATGACAACTTATATGTATAATAACAATGCTTGATTTATTTAAGACATTTGGAAAGAGGGGTAGATGGTTCTTTCTTAATAGCCGACCAAAACAGGAGAAATCCACAGGTCATGGGACAGTCCAATATTTCAGTGGGTGGTAGATAAGCATATAGTTTTGTAATTTTGGCATTTAATTTGATGTGCAGTTTTGTGCTGTGTAGTTTTCAGTTTTTGTGTGCTTCTGTTTTGTGTGCTAAGCATTTTTTTTTTTGCTGTGCATTTTGTGTGTGATTAACTTCACTGCATCTGTTTATTCTATATGGCCCTCTCTGTCTCTGCAAGGTGATAAAGAAGAAATTTCACAGCTTCAACTTCAAGTCCCAAGATCTTCCCCAAAAATTGTACTTGTACACCAATGCATTGTGGTTTGAGAATACACCTTTCCCTTTCAGAGGGCAAGGCAAAATGCAGGACAATTTCACCATAACCACATTATTTTAAGGTGTAATGTACCTTCATGTATATATACGTGGCACACACATTTATACACAATATAGAATTTTGGTTATCTTACCTTGATCCATACGATTTATAGTGGTATACTGTGCAGCCAGATCTTTTCGTGCTGCAGGAGTATCAGGCACAAAATATGGAACCACAACCTCGTCTGGGCTGTACTGTGTCGGTGTCCAGTCTGGAATATGTCCCATGCCAGGTTGGCCATTCCCAAATTTCTCACAAAATTCACCAAACTCCGGGTTAGTGCTCCCGCAGCGATGGGGGTCATGAAACGCTACATAAAGAAAAAACTGTTGGCTGAAAAATAAAATTGTACACAATTTATAATGAAAACCATTCCATAAGGATACATACATTTTAGCTTCATTCATTCATTCATTCAGAGTTTTTTCTTTACCTGTGCTAGTGTATTGAATTATTTTACCATAGGAGGTAAGTAAAGGACCCTTTCTTATCAGTAATTTTTATTCTGCAATTCTAACAGCCTTTAACCCTATTGCCCCAAGAAAACTAAATCTAGATACTTCTGGTAATAACAAAGTCCCCCATAAATGCTGATATATCGGCATTTCTGCAGTGACCTATTCTCAAAAAGCATAGTTAAATGCCTCTGGTTCTGTTTGCACCTGTACATTACTTAGGAAGCCTGGATACAATTATATTGACTAAAAAAAAAAAGGCATTAAGAGAGGTTTCCTTATTTAACCAATGGTTTTTTAAAAACCAAGCTGACGTCAAATTCTCATGTAAGCCTCAGGGACAGAGGTCACAAAGTCACAGCATGAGATACACATTTGTTTTAGGTCCTGAGGAAAGTATTCCCATGGGTTCGTGTCACATATTTTAAGCATTCAAAGAGTAAAAGAGTTAAACCTACAGTCCTCTCCTAGGAAATATATAATTAGAGCAGTTGACAAAAAAACACACACAAACACCCACACCCACCATAAGACAGACACAATCTACTCACCCTACAGCAGTCCCATTTAAGAAATCAGAAACTCTCTCCTTGATAAATGTGATGTTGCGGCCGACCTTATTAATTGACACTTGCTCCTCTGTGACCTCATAATCAAATGGGTAGACGTCTTCTGGACCTACATGCTTCTTCCCAATTATACCTTTGCAAATATCAGATTATTAAAGTTAAATTGCTCAGTATAATAAAGCATTGATATATTTTATCAATCTATATCCTCTTTATGTGACTTCCAGCGTTAACAGTCTACTGCTTTTCTTCCTATGGTATCCCACGTTGCTTAACACTGCATTTCCATTTGTTCTGTCCTACAGGTTGTTCACATAACATTGTATTTTATCCGCTGCCTTCTGAAAGCTGTCCTTAATCTTATAAATGACAACAATAATAATACTAACAGAAAAACCATAGGGAATATACTGATTTTGATTATAAGGTGTTACCTATTCAATTCTTCTATTCCCTAAATAATCCTTCACATTTTGATGAAACGCCACTTTAATGGCTCTTCACAGAGACTAACATTGTTTCGTATAGTACTTCCCGTCCTTTTTTAGGATGAAATTTTTCGTTATTTGAAGACCTACTCTGGCTTTGCCAGGGGCCCCAATAAAGCCTGGCCATAAATATGGCCTAAAGGCTGAACGCGATTTCTGGGACCTCTCCACAGTGATCCTCACCCACATGGTGGCACACCGTGTCATCGGGTGTTTATCGCTTGTGTGATGTCCTGGTGGGGTAGAAAGTCAGTCAGTCAGTCAATATTGTTTTGTTTGCTGTGAAAATGAATTTGTATGAACATGTTTCGAAAAACTAGCATCAGAAAAACAATATCTTTTTATATCAAAGTTTGGCATGGTGCTTGGACTACTTTCTGATTTATTTTTAATTAATTCAGTGGGATACAATATTTCATGCAATTTTTTTCAAAACAAATGATAAGGGAAAAGGTCTAGAGCTGTTCATACTGCTCTGTCAATGGTGAATCTCAGCCAGGTAGTGACAATAGTCTTGATATTATGACTAATAATGAATGCAAGTGCCAAAACTATTGCCGATAATATAGGTTTGGATGAAGCTGAACAAAATATTGCAATCTAATCCCTGTTTTTTTTTAATCAGCTGTGTATAGAATTTGGTTGTGAAATTTGACATGTTGTACAAAAATGGTCATAAAATCCAAAGTATTAAAATTAATTGTTTTAAATAAAGACTAGCTGATGCATAATTGAACAAAGGAGGCAGGTAAATTTTTAGAGAAGGATACAGTGTTGCTGAACAAGTTAAAATGTAAGGTAAGCACAACATTTCTCGTGTAAATAATCTTTATATGTGTCTAACATCCTTGAATGTGGTGTGATTTTATAAAATTTGTTGTAACACTAGTACTTGAATAGTTAAGATTTATTCTGCATTAATTTCTCTTAAATTTGATATATTATATGTCCCTTTACAGTGAGTACGTTTTCTTCAGAAAGGTTTGAGTATCGTCATGTTTAATTTAATTCAGCTCACAATTAATGCTGTCCAAACTCCAGACAAAATGTCAGCCTGCAAGCAAGAGTTAATATTAATATTAATAATTAATATTTACAGGGCATTCCTTGACAACTCAATGTTCACTTTTATCACATTTTCTCACTTTCTTTGCTTTCTATCTTTCATTTTATAGTGTACTAGCTGTACCCGGCCACGCGTTGCTGTGGCATAGTTTGGCTAAATGGAAATGAAAGAAAATAGAAATTGCACGTGTCTAATACAATCATTGTCTGCTCAGATATAGAGATAGTCTTTGATCCCCACCTCACCCCCCCACCCCACAAACTAAATCCACCTACTACCCTCTTTCATCAAATTTAGGTCATACCCCATCCCCTCCCCTTTTCCACCGAACTACTGCTTCCCCCCTTTTTTGAAATCACTAAACTGGCGATATTTGTTGTTGCTGTAACGGCATTGACATCTTCCATCTGGACTAAAATAAGCAGCCACTTAATCGGAACAACGAAAAGAGAACTCAAAATTATGGACTGTATTATGTAACCCATACATGCCATTCTGGTGTTGTGGCAGCCCTGACAGTATGGCTGATCTGTTGAGCATAACGTTTAGACAAAGATTCTGAGATAATTAGATGATGGAAAGCCGGTCATTGCTAGTTAATTAACAACTGTTCAATGCTATATGCTCTGTAATCTTCACTGTGTTACTTAATGTATCATCTGTAATCATTTTCCCATCCAAGCAGGTCCTTCCATCAGACACCAGCAATTGAAAACATGCAGTAATAGGATGATTTTTCACACTACAAATTCATACAGCTGGCTCATCTTCATCGCAATCAACAAAAGGTCAAAATTACAGAACACATTACGATCTGGTGTTGTGGCAGCCCTGGACAGACTGATGAAAGCATCTTTCTTTCTCCAGCCAATTAAATCAAAAGCCGGTCGTTGTATTCATAGTCAACATATCTTCCATGTCTTGTATCTAAATTTTTGGAGGTCTACATCTGCCTCGTTTTCTAAAAACTGTACCTCCATCACAATTTTCTCCATGCCACCATGACACATAGCATTACAATACTACCTTAGCTTTAGATCCAGGATACTGTTTATGAGCCAATAGTCTTCCAAGGTCTTATCATATGGGATGTCAGTGTACAGCTGGCTCATTCAATCCTCATGATGCCTAGAGGCACACAAGGCAGAGACAAACGGTCACCACTCAATTTGATCCAGAGCCTTCCTATTTATCTCCAGTTGTTGTACTTTGTGTAGCCTTGAGTTCAGCCTCAAAGGTTCGCTTCCAAGTGCCTCTGTGCCTGCTTCTTCCTCACTGTACTTGTGGTATCCATTGCATTGCCTGTCTCGGCCATCTCTCTTTCTTCATTCTGAGAAAGTGTCCAGTCCACCTCCATATTTGTCGTTTGATTTCTAAATTTACATCTTTCAAGTCTGTCATTTGTTGTAATCTAGAATTGCTTATCTTATCTTACCATATGAACCCCAACAACCTTCTAAGAAGTCTTTTCTCAAAACCTCTAAGCATGCTCTCTATATTTCTGTCTGTTTTCCAAGTTTCTGCTCCATATTGGAGAGTTGTCCTAACACATGTTTTGGATATCCTGAGTTTAGTTCTAGTGCTGTGGATGTTTGATTTCCACACACTGAAGTATGTTGTAAGCAGCATTTGCCTTTGCAATTCTCTGTTTGATTTCAACCACTACATTTCCATCTGAGGAGATACTGCTTCTTAGGTAAGTAAAGTCAGATACTGTTTCCAAACCTACATTATCTATTACTATAGGTCTTCCACTTTTGGGGTTTATCTCAAGAAGTTTTGTTTTCCTGACATTGATTCTTAACCCTGTCTGTTTTGCTATTTCTGTAATCTTATCTATCTTTTGTTGCAGATATTCTTTGCTTTGACTGATGACAAGATATCATCTGCAGTCCAAATGTTCCAGGTGTTCGAGAAGGTTCCACTGAAGGCTGGTCCATGTGCCTGTAGTTACTTTCTTCGTAACATAATCTATCACTATGAGAAACAAGAACGGTGACAGAATACACTCTTGTCAGACTCCTGATCTTATGCTGTAGTATTCTGTTTCCACAAGTTCTACTTTCACGTTGCTTTGGTATCCTTCATAAAGTCCTTTAAATATGTTTATAACTTTATCTGGTAACCCATATGCTGCAAGGATCTTCCACATCATTGTTCTATCTAGACTGTCAAAGACATTTTCAAAAAGTTTATAAAGTTTATATATAACGTGGTATTCCATTCTAAAGCTTTTTTCCACAATATTTCTGACAGTGAAAATATGATCACAGCAGTTTCTTTTTTTTTCTGAATCCTGCCTGGTCTTCCGACCAGACCACCAATTCATTCTGTTGTATCAAACCCTACAGAGTGCTTTTCTGGGCACCGACAATAATGTTATTGCAGTGTGAGAGATCACTTTTCTTCAGTAGTGAAATGATTACACCATTTTTCCAGTCTGTTGGTACCACTTCATTTATCCTTATTTTGTTGAATATTCCATATAATGCTTTTGCTGTAAATTGTGGGTCTGCCTTTAACATGTCAGCATTAATTCGGTCTTCACCTGGTGCCTTCCCATTTTTCAGACTGCTTATTGCCATTTCTATTTCTTTAATGCTGACTGGCCCAATATCCATTTCTAGGTGCTGGCCAGTTTTCTACTGTTACCTCTGGAATATCTGATACTGGCTTTGGGATATCTGCTGATACTGGCCTTTTTAGCAACTAGGTAAAATATTCCTATTATCTGTCAACCTTTTCTCATTCCGTTGTGATTATTTTTCCGGTTGTGTCTCTTAGGTTTCCTATTTTAAAACTAAAATGTTTCTGAATAAGATCCTTTGTTATTTTATACAATGTTCTATTATCCCCAGTCATTGCTGCTTTAGTCATTGTAAAACGGTTGTACACACAAAACTTAGGTCCAGGTAAAAACCAAAAGTTCAAACAGACGATTAACTGGGACCTTCCACCGGAATTCACAGCCGGTGAACGAAGAAGAAGATTGCTGCTTCTTCCGCTCTGGTAGCTTTGAGTTCCAAGTATTCCTTTTTGTCTTTCTGTACAGCTGGCGACACAACTATAAATACTGTATTAATACAGATGGTTACATTAGTTTAATGTAAATAAATGTAGCTGATAAGTAATCAAAGAAGGACCCATTTTGTGTCAATAGCATTGTATATGTTGCTATCCTAGATTCTTTTGGGCAAGTATTGGGCTTAGAAGTCACCTCCAGACTCACAGAAAATCAACTATAGTTTCATGACAGATGAAAGAAAGAGTCATCTTCATCACTTGTGATGGATGAACAACACACAAGAATATGGTGCTGGGTCCATGTTTATACAGACCAATATCCACTCAGTGGGTTACTTCCCATGATATTCCATTTTATCTATTTTAGATGGGGTGAACCTGTGAGCCCTAGGTCAATTTTCAAAATCTGTCCCCGTGCAGATTTATACCCAGCACCTTCAGGCGGGCAGTAAAGAAACTAGCTGCCATATAATCGCTGCCCCCATTGTATAAATGTAACTGACTATATCACTGTAGCCAATGTATATTTGTAACTACAAAATGTAACTACTGTATGACTATAATTTTCTATATAATTATAACTACTGCATAAACCTAACTGACTACATAATCGGAAAACCACTGTGATAAGTTTCAGATAAATACCTGCTTGGAGAACAGCTACTAACAGAAGTAAAAGCATTATCAAAAACAATGCTGCGGTTTGCCAGATAATTAAGTGCTGGAGTTTTCAGTACATTATTTCCATAAACCTGTGACTCAAATCCAGCATCATCACCTGTTAAAATTTGTAAAAAAGCTCATTTTAAAGAACGTCTCAAGAATAATGATACAAGCAGCTTAGAATAGGATAATAATAATGTAAGAGCAGTCCAGCAGCTGCTAGCACACTTGCTTGTTGACCAGCTAGTCAAAGAATAATATCCCCACTGATATAAACACCCCACGGCATGGACGCTGGTATTTTACCATATTAAACCTAATAATCAAGTATTAATTCTAAGCAGAGTTTCCATGTGGGTTCTGGGGCCCTATTGTGGGGAAAATAAGAACAGACCTTCTGCCTACTCAAAAGCATGTTGTAAGGATCAACTAATTGGGAGTTTCCTTTGAAGTCATAGTGCATCTGCCTGAGAGGCAGAAAACCAACAGTCTGCATGCAAATGAGTCAGAACTGTGAAATGGATGTGCATGCAACACTCAGGTTCCGGAACTAGACTAGAATCCAGAAGTGGACGAACAAGTAGAACTTTCTGCTGGAGTTTACAGCCAGTGAGGAAGAAGAAGAAGATAAGCATAGTGAGTGTGAGCTGGCTGAACGGTTAGAATGCTGGGCTCTCAGGCAGGAGACTCGGGTTCAAATCCTCAGTAAGGTTGAGATTTTTGTTTTCTGTCGGGAGCAAAAATAAAATTCTAGCTTGCAAAGTCTGTGGTGACAACACTAGCCATGCTGCCCTAAGTTATCAGGCTCAAAGACACCCCTCCCCCCCCCCACCACACCATAAAAAAGGGTAAATAAAGGCAGTAATTGGCAGTGATTAAAGAGAGAGGGAGAGAGAGAGAGAGAGAGAGAGAGAGAGAGAGAGAGAGAGAGAGAGAGAGAGAGAGAGAGAGAGAGAGAAATAAACATAAATACAAAGAGTTAAAAAAAAAGAGAATTGAAGAGGAAGAGAAAGAGGAGGCAGAAATTTAAAAAAAAAAAATTTAAATCTGCATACATTTACGTTTCACTTCTGATCTCGTTAGATAATGCAAGGCAATACCATTTACTTCCATTGTTCCTTTTATCCTCATTGAAAGACAACTAAATATACAAACAGAATCAAAAATTAATGAGCAGACACAGAGAGAAAGAGAAAGGGAAGGCAGGAATTACAATAAAATAGCATAGTGCAAACATGCAACCATTTACATTTTCTTTCTGATCTCGCTAGGTGATGTGATGTTAAGAATATTTACTTCCATTGTTCCTTATATCCCTAAAACACAGGCAGCAGTTTTTAATGCCTAGATCACTGAGTCCCATGCAATCACTGGTGTGGGTTCTGGGTCCCCATTGTGGGGGGGGGGGAGAATAGACCCACTCCGTCCTAAACAAGAATATAGTAAAAGTTGACTAATTAAGGGTGTTTCCTTCGAAGTTGGAGTGCATCTGTCTGAGAAGCAAGGAATCAGTAGTCTGCATACAAATAAGCCAGATCTTTAAAATGGATGTGCACACAAAACTAAAGTTTTGCAACAAGACCAAAGTTTAAACGTGAACGAGAACTTTCCATCGAAGTTTAAAGATGGCGAACATTAAAAAAACAAAAGAGAAGAGATATATTATTTTTATCTGATGCACAAAATCAACTCTCTCTGTGAACTCATTTCTTTCAAGACATCTTCTGTATGTTTTTTTTTTATTTGACCATTATGTTTTTATCATTCTTCTATAGAACATATCTCAGCAGCTTCATCAAATTTTTTAATTTGCTAGCTGTCCGTGATTCCCTCTCATAAATTCAGATTGGCTCTACTTAATTCTTTAGAGCTTTCCTTCTTTCCTTGTGTGTACAAAATTGGTTAAAATGCAGTTGTCAGTTGTAACAAAAACTTACCAACAATTAGGAGAACATTTCGCTGGCTTGCTCCTCTGGCTGTAAGACATTGAATCTGACTGCACAGTTCAATAATGATACAAATGAAGAACCACATATTTCTTGACCTGTGAAACTGATTCATTCTCTTCTTCAGGCTCTTACTGAAGTACCTTGTCTTTAATACAGTATAATTAGTTAACCTTTAACTAAGAAGATGAAAATAATTTCAGCTCTTCACAGCTGAAGAAGCTGTATTAACTACTGTTGTGACCAGAGTATACTTGCAGGACAGATGACTATACTACTAGTCAGTAGCATCACTACATTCTTCTAATTAAAAACAATGAAGATGTACTTTTGTAAAATAATATCAATATTATTATTAATTTTGAATACAAGACCCTAAACGTTATATATTATGTACTCCTTATATTAATTTATGGTTGTTGAATGATTCTCATTCCATTAGCAGGGTTTTGGTTATCAACAAGAACTTAATTAGTTATTCTATACTGAGATAATTTTTAAAATGCCCAACTCAATTCTATCGTTCGTGTAAAAAAAAAAATACATTTATAAACTTTTGGATCATGTGATTGTCATGTGACCACTTGGCAAGTGACCCCTCCCCTTCTCCTAGCAGACGTGAGTGAAGGCCAGCAGACGTCTGCGTAGGATCTGGTTCAACTGTGCACTCAAACACTTTATCAAGATAAGAAAATGTATTTCGCGTGTACTGATATCTTTTATATTTTGCGATGTAAGCAAATTCCAAAAGCTAAAACAATTAGCTGTTGAGAACTTGAGTGGAGCTGCGCATGCCTGGCTGCTGTCTTTGAAAAAGTTAGTTTATCGGATGAACGACTTTTTAATAAGTCTTTAATTGACTGCTTCTCAGGTTCCGCTGTTTGTGATTTTCTGTACAGAGTTATGAACTTATTACCATTAATTATTAAAAGTATTTCTTATAACTAATAAAGCACTTTTACTTGACTTCAAGTGAAATACTGGACATTGGTCAGTACTGTACTTTTTTTTCTCAGTCAGTGTAGTTATTAGTAGTTATAGTTTCTCACAGTCATCGGTTATTATTATTAATTATTATTTGTTATACATAACGGAAATAATGATTTAATTTGTCTTATTTATTTACATTCAAGAAAATAAAATTATAGTGTTGGGGCAGCGCGGCAAACTTTCTTCAGCACTCTTCCAAGTTTCGTCTCACATTCAAACAAAAGATTTTCGAAGTATCAAATATTGTCACTAATATTATAATATTGGGAAAGCGTTGAACTTTTTAATAGAAAACAAACTACACGGAGCGCTAAAAAAATGACTTGCCGTTTCGCACACGAGCAAAAATCCTACGGAACAATTAAGGAGAGCACCAACGATGTAACTCGACAAATTAACCCCAGCATTTCTGCGTAAGACAGGCCCGTAAGTTTTATCCTGAGGTGCACATAATTTCTGTGTTTTACAATCAGAAACACCTTTTGTTTTGTCATGTAAATCGACACACTGCATCATTCATGAATCACTCATGTTTACAATTTAAAGTAGCTTTAAAAATGGTATAATAATAATTCATTCAATCGCCTGCTCATTATTTTTTTTTTCTTTCTGCTTATCTATCCTTAATTTTAAATTGCAAATGCCACTGCAGCCAAAGTCTGAGAGTCTCTAACGTCAAATTTAATCATAGTAATTACTAATAATTACATATAGAAAATTGTCAGGTTGAAAATAAATATAGACCAAAGTAGAAGTACATTATAAGCTGGACAGAAATATGCAGACCTGAAAATGATACAGCGAACTCAAGGCTATAGAACAATGTATACTATATTAGGCTCCGAATAACGGTCCCAAATTATCGAGGCGAAAAATAAACCCTAACAGGGCCTCAGGCGCGTGTTAATTGCGAACTTCCGGCGACTTAAATTGCTAACTTCTGGCGATTACCGCCACCGCCGAGAGTATCCCCGGAGCGGGGATAAACTGGATAGCTGGGATTCACGAGCAGCATCTACTGCATTGACGTTGACGTTGAAAAGTAGAAAAAAAAAAAAATCAGCGTGCCTCTGGGGCCTTGCTTTATTTGTGTTCTCGTTTCTGTGTGGTTTCGATTCGTGTACTGTTGGTGACCTGTCCTCACGCCTAATTTCTTGCATGTTTCTGCAGTACTGATTGGGAGTGGATGTCTACTAGTCCTGATAAGGACTAGTAGAGATTGCTTGGGGAGGCCTCCAACGGGTGGGAGGGAGTGAATTTGGTGGTCGACATCATGTCTGGCATAGCTGTGGGTTCTTCGTGCCGGTGAGCTGGTCTGGTGGGCTGTCATGGCGGCTTGGCTGGTTCTGATTGGTTTGGGTCTGTTGGGTAGCCTCTTGACTGCTAACGTTTCTTGGTTGCGAAAGCGTATCAAGGTTTTCGATGGTTCCTCTGTTTGTAGTTGGGCTAGCTCACTCCATGTTTGGGTGCGACTCTCGTGCTGATGATTTGGTGGGCTCTGGACATTGCTTTGAGTAGCCTGCTTTCGTACTCCTGGTGTCTTATGTAGAGGTGTGGGTATGTCACATTTGGGGCGTTAAAGTCATTCTTCGGGTCGTAGTGAATGAGCTTCCATCTGGCGGGGCGGGCCCACTCTCCTCTGCTTGGTGCAGTCAGATCATTCATGCATCTCACTAATTTGTCGATGTATGCCTGTGTCATTTCACAGGGGTACGAAGGCTGGCATTTCAAGGATTCGGTTTGCGTATTCTTCCTCTTCTGCATCTCCTTCAAAATAGTCCGGTTCAGTGTCTTCGCAGTCTGGTTCAGTTTCTTGTTCTTCCATTTCTGTCAGGTTTTGCTGGGTTTCAATAAGTTTTTTGATGTCGCTTACTGCTTCTTTCAGGACTTCTTGTATGTTTGACTCTTGTTCCGCCTTCTTTTTCTGCCGGGTTCTCTCCATATTGACTGCTATCATTGCAGCGTCTGCTTCAGCTTTCACCTCTAGTAGCCGGGTGATTTTTTGGTATGTAGTTTCGCAGGCTTCTTTCAGAGCGGCCATCTCTCTCTGGTGTTCCTCTCTTTCTGCTTGATGCCGAACTACCTCCTGGACTTGTGCTGTTCTAAGCTGCACTAGTAGGTCTTGCATTTTTATAGTCGCCTCAGTTATTTCAGCTAGTAGTTTCGTGTGCTGGGCCGCTTCTGCTTGTTTGTCTGCTCTCTGGGCACCCAGTGTTTGGGAGATGAGGCCTAGCATCTCAATTCTGTCCGAGGTAGCTTCATCTCTGTTTACTTTCTGCCTGTTGATCGTGCAGATTTCGTTCCGGATTTCGGTCAGTTGTTGCGCTATTTCACCGTCTTTAGCGGCTGGGCTAGCTCTGTGGTTTGGTCTTGCTGTACTTGGCTGAGTGGGTCGTTTTTGACAGACTTTCAGGAAGGGACAGCCCATGTACCTGGCGCTGTGTGCCCCAGAGCAATTGGAGCACCTTCTCTTTGTGTTAGGCCTCCTGAAATCCTGGTCGGTTTTGGCTAGGGGGCACTCTTTGAAGTTGTGCGTCCCTGCACAGTAACGACAAATGGGCCCGCTACGACAGGTCGCCGCAGTGTGCCACGCCCTATTGCACCAAGCGCACTGTAGGATAACTGATAGGTAGTTACCCTGCTGCTGAGTCCTCCCTTGCGTGCTTGAGAACGACAGTGGCCTCATGACTGGCTGGGCCGCTGGAGCCTCGTTGGCACTGGTTGTCGGTGGCTGGCTTGGATTCTCGGCCTCAGAGGTACTGTCCGCTGTGGCATTGACTTCTAGAGTAGGGCTGATCGGTCTTTGGATCTCCTGGCTCTGGTCGTCTTTCGCTGCGGTTTCTGTTACTGCAGGCTCTGGCTTCCTTGGTGAGGTGGCCTTCGCTGGTTTCTTGGCTTTTTCCATCTTGTCAGGCAGGTGAATAGGCTGCACCTATGAGGTGTTTACCGAAAGCTAGATCACTGGTCGGCAAGACTTGTTGAGTATCCTGAAAAGGACACCAAGTGTGCTTTTCCCAACAGTTCACGAGACAATCGTATGCTACTAATGCGTACAACGGGCTGCTAAAACTCCACCCGCAACGCCGAATGTACAATAACCAGTCAAGACTGACTCAGCCGAATGTCAAGCGAATCGGTGTCAAGTATCTGGTTATCGAGAATCGGGCCACAAGTGGAGAGTTAGCAATCGAGCAGAAGACGAGAGGTGCGGACGACTGGGCTGTCTGCGCTCGAATGGCAGCTGTGAGTCCCAGCTATCTAGTTTAGCCCCACTCCGTGCCGCGCATGGGCGGTAGTCGCCGGAAGTTCACAATTTACATGTGACTGAGGCCCTGTTAGGGTATATTTTCGGCCTCGATAATTTGGGACAGTTATTAGGAGGATAGCCCTATTATATGTATGATGATTAATAAGGACTACCTTGAGAATTCGGATATTCAATGATTAGTGTATCTTGTTGCCAAGATAGTTGTGTTTCCTTGACTCTCATCAGTAGTATAATTATTTGATTTCACCCTTTGGAGACAGAGCCTTTTTTGGAGTGTCAGTGCCGAGAAGACGGAGCCATCAGGAGGGGATTCTCATAGTTCATACACAAAAAATTGTAAAAAATAAAGCGTTAGATTAACATATACAAACTATATATATATTCATGTAGGAAATTGAATGAACTAACATAATATTTATGAGTCAAACTGAAATCTCAACATTTATTCAAATTAACTATTCTGATTTGCATAATTTATGCAAGCAATTTTTTTTAAGCTTGGGAACAAACATAACTAACCTGAAACATTTGGGTGAATTTTTTTGATGAATTAAACTTGAACAAGTCCTAACACCTATATTTTGGGAAGTAAGGTCCTTTGAGGCCCTTCAGACACGTCTGGCACATGGTTCTACTCATTTTCCTGCCTCCAGCTATGTTTCGGTTGCTATGACGCCACAATCTTTTTCGCCATTTTTGAGCACAGTCAACCCCATACAAAAATTAATGTAAAATTACAGAACACATCAAACTTTCTCAAAAGCCGTCAATGAACAGCTCAGATGTGCAAGAAATGTGAGAAGCAGTCTGATTGGCTGTTATGAAAACCTGCCAGCCAATATCAAGGCTTCTTTTAT